TGGTTCTGTTACCTTAACCAACTTAATAATTATTTTCTAAATTTCATTATCAACATACCAAAATTCCACTATTCCACTTGTGATATTAGCAGAAGCGTTCTATTTATCAGCGTCATAATACTTTGCGCGCTAAATCAACAGTAATTTATTCGCTATTCCATCCGTTCGGGTTTTACATTCGCGGGAACGAGGGCAATTTACTTTTCACAAGCGGCACAAGTCGCTCGACTTCGACGAAATGCATATGTAACGTTTTCACTCGCGAAACAGCCCTTGAATGTGGATTCGTGTCCAATTGCAGAATCGAATAAGCTATTTTCGAAAAGGGAAAGTACCGTGAAATCAGTCGGGGTCCGATGTGTATCGCCAAAGAGTACGTGACATGCGGCAAAGGAAATAAGCGATCTTTTGTATAAACAGACGAGCTTAGAGAGGTTTTGAAAGTTTTTGGCAGCGCCCGCGAGAAAAGCCTCCGAGAGGCGTTATATCGTTTGCCCTTCTTACCCTCGCGAGAACTCTTTGAAAATTGGCATCAAAGTTAACGATTTCCGTTACTTTGTGCCCTCCCATTGAATCTAGCGAGCTTCTGTCGATTCTAAGGATGCACAGGGGCACGGCCGAAGCCTTAGAATCGGGAAGGTGGTGCCTGGCTTTGATAGCTGGTAAGGTGAAAAATATTTCTCTTGGTAACGGCCATTGGTAGAGATGTGCTGCCTTCCCCTTTTTCTTTCTCTACATGAACCGTATATCTTTTATCATTCTCCTTCGTTCTCAGAGAAAATGACGGTGGGAATTTGAAAGACTGTCAAAAATATCCACTGCTATTGTTATGTCTACCTACACAGTGGTTACACAAATGGGCAAAGAAAAATGCTTTGAGGGGGTGCTTCTATAATAAGTTATATTGGCAGTTATTAAGTCTGAGTAAATTCCTCATTTCGTATTATAGCGCCTATAAATATTCAATCGTTTACATTTTGTTGAAGATACTTTTGAGCGTTTTAAAAATATATTTTTGAAATAAAACATTCTACTCTTTTTTACCATGTATAACTCATGTGATCGTATAAAGTTGGCGATTGACAATACTGTTAATTTTCAACGTTAATTATTGCAAAAACAGTGATAATAACAAGGGTTCAACGAAAGATGTATTGTTAGTATGTAAAATTAAAAGAATCAAATCAAAAAAGGATTAAGAAAAGAAATTAGAAAGAACGAAATTTAATAATGTAATTTAAAATTCTAACCATAAGTATCAATTGTATAAATACATGACAAATATGTTTATGAATAATTACATTACAAATAAGTAGGGAATATTGAAATTAATAAATTAACTTATATTAATTATATGAATATTATAAATGGACGTTTTAAAAGTTTTTCGAATATAAACTAGTAAAGTACTAAGCTAGTACTAAAAAATACACAGTTTTAAAATAAATCAATATTTTAAATACTTATTACAACATTTCTAACTACTAACGTACATTAATTTATATTATTACATAATTTTTAAATGCAAGTATCCAAATATTTATAATAATTATTGCATATACTACTTTTTCGAAACATTAAACATCTTTGTTTATACTATGTAGTATTACGAACTAGTAGTGCGAACACCTTTTGAAAATAGTAATTAGAGTACGATAATCGTATCATTCGTTGTTGGAATCAAAACCAGTGAATAATGTTCTGGTCGAGACAAATTATCTGAATAGTCGAGTTTAGAGGCCTACGCTATCATTATCACGAGACAGAATTTATGCAGGCAATCGAATCGAGACGACACGGTAGGGGGGATGTACCTACCTATAATTAATATATGCTGAGTATCGCTTGTTGAACCTACTGAGCGGTTGATTATGCTTGTTACTGTCGCAGCATAGACTCTGCGACAGAACAATGTTAGGCAAGCACTGCCTGTCTACACGTATACGTATTTACCGAATAGCGTGAATATATTCAAGTAATGAATCATTTAAACCTGGAAATACATGGTCATTATTAATTTACTTGAGAAAAGAAAAAGAAAGGATATACTAACTTCAAACATTTTTATGTTGATGAGAGAAGCTATTAACTCGTTATCTTATGATTATTTTCGCGAAAGCAAAGAAGAATTCTTAATTTTTCTACATCCACGTCTGTTTCATAACAATTGATAACAGATAAATAGTATTTAATTTGAATCCAAAATAATCGAGTAGGGTTTAGTTTTTTTAATTTGGATTTGAGAATTTTCTCAGGAGTCTGACTCGACATTGTATGGCAAGGAGTTAAAACTAAATTTACTATTTGGTTTACTATACATTATTTGGTAAATGTCGATTTTTATTGATACAATTGTGTAATTCGTGTGAATATGTATTCTAATTGTCCGTTTTTGCAAGATCTAAATGAACGAACATAAATTTTTCTAGGAACAACAGAGTAAACTGTACAACAAATATGTGTAAACATAGTATTAAAATTACTATACAATGTTTCATCCCCTTAATACTGAATTCTTACTTCAATTTAACGAAAGATTACGATAACATTTTTTAAATCATTTTTTGAAGGTTTTTGAATCTTTAACATAGTATGAAATACTTTTTTCAAATTAAAGAAAGAGAAGTGCAACGTGAAATAAAAAATGTTTCTCCTGTGAATACCTATTGCCAGTTATAACAAAGGGGGAAATCAGATCATAATTATAGTTCTAAATTGTATTTTCTTCCAGACTTTTTCTCCCACATTTCATTTTCATCAGTTACAAGTTGAATGTAACAAGAAATTGAATTTTATAGCCATTTTTTCCGTTCTAGCGTTCAAATATAGTTCTTCTAAACGACGTTACAATTGTATATATGTCAAATGGATACGACAACAGTATGATGTATGAAATTTTATGCATCAGAAAGAATTTTACGTGTTCAGTATAAATGTAAAAAAGTATTCGGTCAGATGTTTCATTAATTTTTGATGTTACGATTAAATTGTTAATACTGATAGTACCAAATGGGTTAAAACAATCTATTTTTGATTTCTTCGTTAAAAGATAATGAACTTATAAAGTGTTCTTGAAGGAAATAATTAAGCTAATTGGTTTAGACATATATTTGCTACGATGAAAGATAAACTAAATTTCACTAATACATTTATAATTTCTTTAAAAGATTCTAAATTACTCATTTTAACTACTTGGAACTGTTATGATTAAACATTGATAATGTTATAATTATTGTTATAAAAATATTTAATATATATAAATGTTGATAGCAATCTCATTAGTCGAAAATATGACTTGTGATTATTGATACGCAACGGATTGATTTGTTAGATACAATATTCTTCTACGTAAAGCTTTACTTAAATACTAAATATTTACATACTTCCATGTTCATATCTTTTATTTAATATTATTTAATTTAATAGTGCAATAATTATTTGTCAATTACGTTAAGACGTTAACGATATCGGTATGCTAAACAAAAATACTTAGAATAGTTAAAAAATAGTATATAGAAAATAATTACACAGTTATAATTGATGTTCCGCCGAGATTATGAATCTTTTATGATCGGGCTTAATCTTTCACTATTGTGATTTTTGCAAAAATTTGAAGAAATCCAATTTCTTTCCTTTGGTAATTTTCTAATTTAATAAAAATAACACGCCAGCTAAATCATTATATCATTTTTCAATAACAATTAGAAATTCCATTCAAGTGATAAAGAAATGAGGTTTTCGTCAGGACTTTAATGGTCCATTTTGTCGGTGGAAAGTTAATTATGCATACACAATCGTATGATATAATAGCACGGTCACATGTTTAAAGGTAAAATAATTTTTCTCGCGATGTCAAAGGAATTTTCTCGGATATTCAATTTCCCAGGCGTCGCGTATTCAACGGAATATTTGCTCCATAAATAATCAGGAAACGACGCGACAGCGCATGGAAAGCTTACAGGTTCTTACTATCAACATTTAATCTCCACGTCCATAATTCAGCTTGTGTGTAAATAATACTGTGACAAGTTATATATTTCATATAATGTTTAACCGTTCTTTCATTGCTTTTAAACGTGTAATAAAGCGCAGAAACCAGATACGTGTGAAAATAAACAGGTACTAATTTAAATATGCTCCGAAAAATGAGAAAGAATATTTTCATTGCGTCTTTTCGCATAGAAAGATTAAGGAAGGTATAGATAATTAAACCATATTTACTAGTGCATATTTAAATGCCTATATTTTAAATGATGCGACGAAGATATAGAGTGAATACTTCATACTGGTAGATTTTTCTATGTATAGTTTATAATATTATTTCTCTGAGTCTATTTTAATTTATGTGAATTAACCTTTAACTTTATGAACTGTTTATTTATATGTATTATATATGTTAAATATGTTGTGTATGTGATAGAAAACATAATAAATTAACAAATAAGTAAATATAGTAACATATATAGAAAAATAAAAAAATGTATGATAACGTTAACAAATATAATAACGCCGAAACTTAATAAAAACTGTTACTTTGAAATACGAAATAAGCAGCGGTCAGTTGATTTTCAAAATTTACTATGTAAAGGTTAAAACAAAGTTTTCAAATCCTATAATAAATTAATTGTAAAATCGAAGGTATTAAATATTGCGGAAAAAAAACTGCAAATAAGTATTTTATTCATGAACAGAAAACAGTAGGTATTAAATATGCATAAAATATAATTGAAATTAAAAGTAAGTATTAAACATCCAGGAAATTAAATTCGAAATATGTATTATACATACACTCCCAGAGAAAACGATAGCACACGCGTGCTATCTTTAATTTTTCGCGTTATAATTATGGCGCAGGAAAGGTACAAATGATACATAAAGACTACCTCCTACTAATATGTAAACACTACCTATATTGGAATTTCTACAAGATATTCTCTTAGGAGGAAAGTAAACACAAATAGACAGAAACAACATTATAGCACACTCAAGGTTTATTTTGACTTTCTTCAATATGTCGCGAGATTTGAGGAAGTTAAAGTGGTCAGTCAGTGTTCAGTGCTTCTTGATATTGGAATCTGTCGCATTTTGTGATGAGTACTGGTAAAAGATTGTCTGGCAGTGAAATAAACGCAATTCTTATTTTAAGAAAACGGAAATTAATGATTACTGAAATTGCGAAAGAAATTAATCGAAGCAGAAAAGCTGTATATAACGTATTAAAAGATGTAGATAATTACGGTAAAAGGAAAAGTATTAGAAGGTCGGCAGCCTTATCACACCGTGACACAATAGCAATACTTCGTGCTGCATCAAGACTTGTGCTACTGTAAATTGCTTGCAAAGCTGGTGTACATACGAATATTCAAAATGTTCGACGTATGCGGCAAATAAATAATATTATAAATCGATCAAAAATAAAAGCATAAGGAAGCACGCCTTGAATTTGCGAAAAAATACATAGGAATACTGAAGGAAAACCTGGAGGAATCTTTACACATGAAAAATGGTTTTGTCTGGATGGTCCAGATAGTAGTACATACTATTATCATGACATTCGAAAAGAATAATTAACAAAAATTAGATGACAAATGAAAGGTGATGGAATAATGATTTGGGCTGGTATGGGTTGCAAAGGGAAAACGGATATTCATTTTATACAAAGAAAAATGAATAGTGCAAGTTATTTGAGATTAATTAAAAACCAAATTGATAAGTATGCATAATGCATTACAAGTATAAAATTTGTGTTCCAGAAAGGTAATGCTGCCATACAAATGGCAAAAATGATTCATGAATATTTTTCAAAGGAGAAAATTTCTGTTTTGGAATGGCCGGCGTGCTCATCGGACCTCAATATAATTGAGAACTGTTGGGGATTATTATCAAAAGCTGTCTATGCAGAAGGTAGACAATTTGAAAATTTTAATGATTTAAAAATCTGTATTAAAGAGTAATGAAAAAATTGATCACAATCTTCAATTAAAGTATTGTATAAATCCTTACTAAGAAAGATGATAGAAGTAATTGAGAACCATGAAGGTCCCTCACATTATTAAACACAGGTACAGTTATATCATTTTCGTATTTGTCGGTTTTAAATTTATATAATACGGAATATTTTTCGGACGTGCTATCATTTTATCTGTATTCATTTGGATATTTGTATTTTTACTAAGAGAATTTGTTCAAGAAAAGTCAATAAAAGTTATGTTTACATATTAGTAGATGGTAGTCTTTATATATCATTTGCACCTTCCATATGCCATAATTATAGGCGAGAAATTAAAGATAGCACGCGTGTGCTATCTTTTTCTTTAGGAGAGTATACCCTCGATCATTTATAAAGGAAAGAAGTAAATTTAAAGGCAATAATTAGTTTTAGGAGAAAGGAAATTAGAACACGAAAAAAATATTTATTCATATTGTATACATTTAACTCAGAGACGCAGAAAACTTCTTAATCTACACTATTATTTATTTATATTATTTTGTGATATAGGAGTATGCTATAGTATTGGATTGTAAAAATACTGTGAGCCGAAAGGTAAAAATATCAATTTTTAATGGAACTAAGGGAAGAGGCTTTAATAGTTAAATGGAAACACATGTCAGGAGATTTAGTCAAATAGCTGGTAAGAATTACTACTATTACTAGAATTCTACGAGCAAGAATAAATGAAAAAATGTGCGGTGAAATTCTTTTGTGTAAAGTTTAAAAGAAAACCTGGCAACTAGAAAACGTTGAATCTAATGAAATTTTGTGAGAGTGCAGACTATACTATAGTAACGAGACCAACCATTTTTTAGAAAAATTCGTAATAATGGTGTGCGAACCATTAAAACTTTTGCATTTTTTTGTTTTGCGTGTGTAACTTTACAACTGTGTGATATGGAACAAAGCTTTAGAAACAGAAATTAGTTTGTTTCTTTTCAGTCACTGTGTTATGGCAAAAAATGTCCGTAACACACGACAAGGAAAAAAAACTTTTTCGCTTTTCCGCTTGTCAAAATCATAAACGTATTTAGTCGTGTTGCTAGCGATTACATACAATATACAACGAGAAGTTGTATATAGCATATAATAAATAAAGTTCAGTGATTATGAACAAGTAATAAAAGTTAGGTACTTGTTAGATTACCAAATTTATATTAACGTTGCAGAAACTCATGTGGAGCTCTGTATTTTGAGCACGGAAATGCTGGCCAGAAACAGTCTCTGGAGAAAGGAAAATGGCATTGATACATTTGTTACTTTGTAATTAGTTTTCGTTTCGCTAATAACATACAAACAAAAGTTTCTAACGCTACAAACACAAGTAAACATAATGCACATGATTTCACTCGAAACGATTATTTGATTTCTTCGTGATTTGTCTGCTTCTCGATGCGCGTCGAATATTAAAATTTTAGGAATTACAATATGGAATTTATTTAATCCCACTTGAACGATGGTAATGTTGTGTGGATTAAAAGCTTTTCGATAAGCTCTAATAAAGGTACAATTCTAAATAAATAATTTTGTATTACATAAGGTGTTAAAAGATATACGGCACAAAGTAAATGATGAATAGAACCCACTAAACTAAGTAAAAAAAAAGTTAGTGAATATAGGTTGAAATTTCAACGATGTTCGAGCAATAAATAGTTTTTATGTTCATATAAAATATATTGTGCATTAAGAACATGTAATTATCATATCTTTTAACACTCTGTATAAGATATTATGTTGGTATATTATCTTTATTAGTAACTGAATATTTTCAAAGGTTATATTGTAAATGTTGTTACAAAAGACATTTGCTTTAGTTTTATTGGCATATATGATTATATAATATAATTAATTATTAATAATATCTAAACAGGGAGAGAAATTATGTAGCATGTACATTTGCTGTAAATGTAAATGTATTGAAAATGTAAGTATTCAAAGATGAAAAATAATACGTTTCTCAATTGATATGTGAACTAAATTGTAATAAATTTTGTATGAGCAGTTCAATAAAACGTAAAGATATTCATGTAATTATAATAAATTAGAAGAGGCTGAATTTCACTTTTCACTACATCTGCTGATTTTTATCAAACTTCGATAAAAATACTTGTTATTCAAATATTTGCCAAACATTTTTTGTTACTGATCATTCTTACTTTGCAAGAGTAAATTAAATTCTCAAATGGAGAGGTACAAAACCTATTTCTTCACACACATGGAAATTATTTAAAGCAGAAACATATTGTAAATACTAAAATTCTGTATCATTTAGTAAGAAATCAAATTATGAAAGCAAAAGTTCTATTCGTTTAAATAATACCTCTGTTAACTTCCATTTATTTGCATTCTAGATATGTAGGATACTCTACCTACCTAAGTAAGTTCAGCAAAACACATTCAAATCTCAGTAATAAAATTAATGGAAAAGTGTTACTTTAACTGTTTTCACTTTATCAATATGAATAAAGACATATTAATATCTTGAGTGAAAATGACAAGTCTCACTCGCCCGGGCCCTCCATGCGAAACATGATTTTGTAATTTATTTCATAAATTGCTACATGTATAAAAAATATTTTTTTTATTTTCGTAAAGAAATTTAATTGACTCTGTAATACTTTAGTTTTCTTTGTAACAGTTACGCTTGTAAAATCGCGACAAAATTAAATAGCGTAAACGTAAACATGTGAGACGAAATAAACCGTAAGGTAAGGGGTTAAATATTTCTAAAAAAAACTACTAACTTTTCATCAAAATTGGTAGTTGTCACTTTGATGCGTCTCCTTGTTAGTTAAATGACGGTTAAATCTGGATTACCCAAAGTCCACCAAAGCTACAGGTACAAAATCACAGTTGTATTCCAGGTGAAAACATTTCAATTTCAATTACCACTACTAACGTTTGCGCCTATAGTTTCTTCATTTAGGTATGCTCGATAACTATAAACAACGATTTTGCTTCAGTTGCCATGGGTACAAAGGTTTCCTTGACGTATGTCACTAAAACGGCACTCTAAGTCTCGCAAGTAACAGTTTCCTTCCGCACAAAGGGGAGCAGAATTCTCAGCAAAGAAGCTCCCAGGTCATCGCGACAATTGCTTCACTCGTCCTTCGAGGTTTAGTAATGACTTCCCGACGTAAAGCTTCCCTCGCCAGACAGGAACTTGAGAATCGTTGTGGTTGTAGTCACCGGAGCGTGTTTGCCTCGAGCAAATATCTAGCGAGTTCTTGACGTGTCATCGCGTTTAGCAGGACCAAAGAGAACACCCTGTCGAAACGATAAGAGAACGACCCTTATCCTTGAGCCGCTAATATGTATTCTTTGCCCACCCAGAATGCACCGAATTCGAAATTCGAAACTTTTGTGGTTGGACCATTCGTTCCCTTCTCGAAAGTCTCTATCGAGAACTTTGTGTTCTACGACGTGACAGGTAATTAACCCCTTAGGAACAACGTTAGTATAGGGTACAATCTAAGTTTAGGTAATTATTATTTTTTTTACTTTCTAGAATTAAAGTCAGTTGGGGAAAGTTGCAGAGAGATGGCCCACTTTTTTAAAAAGAACTGTTGCATCATAAGTATCATTGATACCTAAAAGAAAGAAATATGTTTATGACAGCAAATACGTATAAGGAGAATAGTTAAATAGGTTTCCATGTTTAGGGTTCGGTATATCATTAAAAACAATTGAAAATATAGCCATTTGACATTTAAATGAGATAGAGTTGCCTTAACCGAAATTACTCTATAAGAAATACCAAAACGTCTAAATTAACGACAAATTATGGTAATATTTGTAATAATATATACTTATGAGAAAATAACTGTATACCTACTGTATGTATAAAATATTTGTTTACTGATGTATATATTTTTTCTACTATTATAACGAATACTGCGTACTAAATAGACATATAAAATAAATATATAAAATATTTATATACATTTAATATTTTATATAGTATTTGTTAATAAAACCTATTTTCCTTCCTAATTATATTTCCCAAATAATATTCTTAAAAATTTAAATTTGCATGAAGGTCCGTTGATTAATTATCACTCCGGAAGGACAGAATCACGAAAGTTACGTGCATTATTGAGCAGATTTTATAAAGCTCAAATTTTTGTTTCGAAGTATGCATTGTAGATGTATATTGTTTGAATACACAATGGTATGTTGGCTTTGTTAAGGTTTCTGTTACATTAATATACCTACTTCATGAATTTACTAATTACTGTGTTGTAGTTACATTTAAGGTAGTCGTAGAATTTTCATGTATATTACCGCGGGGAGCAGTTCTGTACCCGACAATGCCCTTTAGTGACTTTGTTCAACTAATCGGATACGTTCGTGGCAAGGAAAGACGAATTGTGCATTAATCAGTTACAGACGCTATACTTTATGTACAAACAAGCTTCTAATATGAAGCTGGCTAAGATATTAATTCCTTGCTGACCGCGTGAAATATGTTTATCTTCTATTGATCGTGAATCCCTTGTAGGTGTCGTGTAGCCGTACATCGCGAGTCGAGTAAATTTTTTCATTCGATCGATAAATTAAATAATAAAGAAAACGAATAAATAATATGGTATCAGTAAACAGTAATTCATTTTATTCTTACGCTTAAACCTGTCAAATTTATGAAGTCATGGTCGTTCGAAGCATTCTGTGACAGCTCTGTTTAACTCCTTGCTTTACAATATCGTGTTAAACACGAGACGGAGATTTCTAATATGGTTTAACAAACATAAATGTTATTGAGTTGTGTTAATTTTTTAACAAGAATTGTGACACTGCATTATCGTCTGAAATCTTAACGGAAAGGAATTTTATATTTATTTTTAATTCTTATAGTTTTATTGGTTTATATTATTACTTTAAAATCAAAAGAGCGACGTGTCAATCAATATTAGTGTACAATTTAATGATTACTTGTCCCTTTCCGGTGATAATTAAGTCTTTTATGCGGTTTGCAAATTGATTCACAATATAAGTGATACATTTGTAAAATAGATTAAAATATTTTGATGATTCCGATCGGATTGGCACAAATCAATTAGGGTATGTACACTATCCGCAATGCAACAGGCAAATCATGTTATGAATTTCTACGGGACAATTAATGCAATTATAACGTAATTAACAGAGTTCAAAGCGTGACCCGTTCAGTAATTATTATCAGTCTGATATTGTGCAGCTACCCACAATTTCGTACAAAACAATGTATCCGTAATCCCGGAAGATTGCGCTCCAAATTCGCCCGTAAATTCTACTCGTCAAGGGAACATCGTAGAACATCGAATAGATTAAACTTATGCGAAACAAATTGAATTTCCTGCTTCGCGTGAAATGTGACACACAAACAAAAAAGGTATTCGGAACATGATAAAAAAGGATTAAAACATTTTTTACATAAAAAATCTTCTCAATGATTAAATATTTCTAAATATATTATTTTATACTAATTTAAACACATTTTTTCCGCGAAGAAAAATTAATTTTATTGTTCCTGTATTTTAATGAGACAGTTGAAATGATAACAAATTGAATAATTATCATATATCGTACTGTTCATTCAATACATTGATGTTAAATATCTATTAAGACTTATTGAAACTCTTTCTCAAAGAGTGTGAAACTTGAAGAGTTTGAAAAATCGAAAAAAAGTTAATGGAAAGAAAACAATTTTTTAGGTGAGTAAATAAGGAATTAAGATTAATTGAGGTTGATTGATATTAATTCTGCATTTCTCTGGTATTGATTACATATTTATTTTTTCCACTGACACGAGTGAAATAAGTATGTATATATGTATGTCAAGTTCAGGTCAATTGGCAAAAATAATTGAATCTATTTCATAAATGAAGAATACCGGGAACTTCGTGGAAGAAACGTTTCGGTAAGAATAGATCGGTTTGGTGTCGTTGATGATGGTAGAGTAATCGATAGTACCAATTGAAGTTTCTTTTGTAGACGGAGAAACAAAGGGGTGAAGGGGAAGGGAACGAGAGATCCATAGGGCAGATAGCGGGATCCCCAGGGCGCGGAAAAAGAAACCGAAGAGTGTCTTCATTCTTTAACGTCCGACACGGATTACAGTGATTGATATAACGAAATTCACTAGCTTTGTTATAGCGGTCCGTTTTCGACGTTGTTTGCACTGACAAGTAACGGCATCAATCAATATCAGCAAATAATAACATTGTACTAAACATCGTTAAATTGAATAACATTTGACAGGTATGAGATTTATTGGTTTAAAGATGAGTAAGTGAAACGAGAGCTCGTTTTACTGAAAATATATTGTGCACAGGCTATTCTGTACGTTAATTGTGAGTTTTGTAAATAGAATGATAATAAATACAATAGAATTTCTGTGCTCTAGAAATCAGGGCCTCTTGACGGCTCCAAGATCATTCTTATTTTTTTAAGCTTGTGTCAAAGATTGACGAGATTAGAATATATTTAACTTTTGAGAGTTAAAGAATCTTATAAATTAATCAATTTATCATGATACCATCAACTTGCATTTTTTATCTAGACTAAAAGACGTATCAGCTGGTATATGAAAAACTGCTTATGTCATTTAAAAGGTAGAGGTGATTTTGGAATCTTTTCGTTATAAATCCGAATACGTTTAAATTTAACCAAATTCAATGCTTGCAATATTTCAGATTTTTCATTCTCTTAAGTTACTAAATTATTATTCGGAATGCAGAATTTCTATTTTAACAGTATCTTTGCTTTTCAATCAATTTTTCTATAGAAAATGTATAACCTCATCAATTTTATACATTAGTATACGCTGTTCGTTTTCCATCACCCCTTTCGCAATTTTATGTTGTTGCGTGACACTTTTTCTTAAAAGGGCGACGCGTTACATCGATAAACTTGGCTTCGCACTTTACCGTGGAAAGCGCCTCGGTAATCCTCTAACAAAAAATCTGAGGACCAGTGAAAGCATCCCAAGACCCAACTGTAGGAATAACAAATTGCTCAACCGGTACTCTTGGACCGTCGCGTCGCATCGTCCGATGCTTGTTTTCGATCACATTCGTTGCACTGTATTCAGTCCTTTCGCTTTGACATCGATTTTGTATCGGACAGGTAATTACGGGCTCCCAGTTATCTATGCGAATCTACTAACGAGACGTGCCCCGAATTATAACCATGAACTTCATTTTAGGTGTCTTCTTTTTTTCATTTGATCCTGTTTCTGCGTTACCGTGTACCTAGACTTTTATATTTCTTTGAAAGTTTCTTGAAATATTTCTGAAAACGTGCGAA